AATCTAATAAGGCTTAGGACTGACTGTTGTTCTAGATCAGTTTGTAAAACGAGCATTTGTCTAGTGAGGATATTATATGAGAAACACAGAGTGAAGGGAGAAAATCATTGGGCCATGATTGTTAGTCAACCGTTTCTAACTGGAGAACAACCAATACAAAGAGTTGTGCAAGCTGTTTCAATCAGAATGTTTTAAAAATAGTTTAATATAGAAATAAATAAAATATCTTAGATGGATATTGGAATTGCTTTGTAGCTTTCCATCAACAAAATACTTAATTAAGGATTGAAACAATTTTGTGAGTATCTGAAACTTAAAAATTCCATAGTCTTAGGCTCACATCACTGGTGTTTTAGCTCTAAGCGTAGTACATCATTTAATGAATGCAAAACCTTTCTCTAAAGGATACTTAGGCTCTGCAAATAGGTGTTGTTCTTTAAAGTGATTCTATTTCATCTATAAAAGTTAGCAAGTTGAAACTCAAGTTTTGTTCTTCAATTAATTTTTCTCATTGCCTAGTGTTGTGCAGCCACTTTACATCTATCCAAAAAAAAACAACAACTCTATTTTATAAAGACAGAAAGTTACCAGGGTAGATAAATATGATGAACAACTTGGTGATCAACATTCATGCACAAAAAGATGGGGCTTATTGGTAAAAAAATATATTTCAATTCCTCTTGCTCTATACCCCTCAGTTGCATCAGTTTTAAAACATTACTTTTGTATTCAGTTTTAAAACATGTCTTTGTTATTCCTGGCATTCCCAATCAAAGATGATAATTTTCGGTGCACTAGTTCATTACATTTACTGTGTGGTTGCAGGTGCTCCACCTTTGTGTATCAGGCCATCAAGGTGTTCATCACAGTTGTCCTCATGGTTGCCATCATCTACTTCTCCAAGTTGTTCCTTTATGTGGATTACCTGGTTCTCTTCTTCCTCCTGCTGGGTAATGGACTCAGCACCGTCACCATGGCCTTCTTTCTTTCCACCTTCTTCAACAAGGCTCAGGTACCCCTGTTGTTTCCTCCCGCCACCTACTTTAACAAAGCTCAGGTACCCTGTTGTTTCCTCCCCCCACCTTCTTTAACAAAGCTCAGGTACCCTGTTGTTTCTTCCTTAACAAGGCTCAGATACCCTGTTGTTTTCTCCCCCACCTTCTTCAACAAGGCTCAGGTACTCCTGTTGTTTCTTCCTTAACAAGGCTCAGATACCCTGTTGTTTTCTGCCGCCACCTTCTTCAACAAGGCTCAGGTACCCCTGTTGTTTCTTCCTTAACAAGGCTCAGATACCCTGTTGTTTTCTCCCCCACCTTCTTCAACAAGGCTCAGGTACCCCTGTTGTTTCTTCCTTAACAAGGCTCAGATACCCTGTTGTTTTCTCCCCCACCTTCTTCAACAAGGCTCAGGTACCCCTGTTTTTCCTCCTCTGCCTTCTTCAACAAGGCTCAGGTACCCTGTTGCTTTCTTCCTTAACAAGGCTCAGATACCCTGTTGTTTTCTGCCCCACCTTCTTCAATAAGGCTCAGGTTCCCTGTTGTTTTCTCCCCCACCTTCTTCAACAAGGCTCAGATACCCTGTTTATTTCTCCCCCGCCTTCTTCAACAAGGTTCAGATATCCTGTTGTTTCCTCTTCTGTCAGGGGAATAGTTATTATGGCCTGAGTGTATGGTGGTCCAGATGGCTGCCACAATTGGGACCATGGCCACCACATTGCTGACCATCCTCTACATCCCAGTGACCTACTTAGTCGGCAAGGTTCCCACTGGTGTCTTCTACGTCTTCTCCCTGCTCCCTCCCACTGGCTTTGCTCTCGCAGCCCAGAATGTAAGTCCACCTCCCTTCACCTTCTGTGGTTCACTGGTGTTCTGTCTGGCAGTTGCTCTCCGACCAGTTCCCGTTCTACAATTACTTAATAGGGATGGCTGTCCTCTACTTTGACATCCTCTTCTATGGCTTCCTGGCTTACTACATGGACCACATCATTCCTGGTAGGTACACCTCTCCCTTTATATATCTGCAACATAGGCAATAAAAGTAAAATAAAGTTCATCTTTTTCTTGACAGAATCTGCTATCTTTTGAGTGTTTACATTTCCTCAGGGTTGTGAATCTGTAAATCATAATGCCTTTAAAAGTATCTATATATCAGTAGGCCTGAGAAAGAATTATACTTGAAATCTAGTAGATTTTATAATAAAAAAAGCACATTGTTCTTTCATCTTACTTTCATTACCCACATTGGGTTGAAATCTCACCAGAAACCATGAGACCTTATCAATAGCTTACCTTGCCAGAATCCCTGTTGTCTGTGCCATAGGGGAGTATGGTGACAAGGAGAGCCCCTTCTTCCTGTGCCAGCCTTCCTACTGGCGTGAGCCCTCTCTCTCCTCTGATGAAGTTGGCCTGGAATCTGGAGGAAGAGAGGATGTCGTCAGTCCAGATGTTGAACCCATCTCTGAGGACCTTCGGAGAAAAGACGTCATACGGTAAATATTGGACCTTCCCTCTTACACTAATTGAACACAATTCTAGAATCACGACTTCCACACACAATTACAATACTCTTAGCTGGCCTCCAGGATATGCTAGTGCAGTAGAAGCCCTAAAATAAATAGTATTTTGAAGTTCTGGAAAGTGAGGGACTTCTTGGTTATATAAATATTAATGAAAAGGTATTTATTACTTATTTATTTGTAATAATTATATTTTATCCTCCTCCTTCAGTGGCCTCCTCTACTGAGGGTGGGCCACCTAGTCTCTCCTTATCTCAGCCTCAATGTTATTACATCTTTTATAATGCACTTTAAAAGATGAAATTTTGAACAAAAGTTCTTTTCAATGGGTCTATTACCTACTTACAATACTACAAGCTTTATCTTTGGTATTTTGTTTAATTTAAAAAAAAAAGGTTTTTATCCTTGTGATCTATACAAAAGTACAGTTGTATTATCCATCTAATGTGAGAGTTTAGTTCTATCAATCAACACCGGCTGTTTTAAACTAAGTTATTCCACCCAAAACTGACCCGGAATGGTCCAGGATCAGAGACCTGGTGAAGGTGTTCTCCAAGAAGGATCAGCCCACAGTGAGAGCTGTCAATGGTGAGTGTTCCAACCTTGCATTGTACCATTGTCATACCTGCACTCCACTGTGGCTTTAGAAACCAACATCCATTATTGGTGCTGGCAGAAGGATTTAAAAAAAAGTATTTTATTGGCTTTATTACTGTTTTTAACAGTAGTTGATATTTTAGAATTTTTCAAAGATACAGTAGTATAGCAGAGTCTGCAATGAGAGACCACCTAAACACATGGGTGTGCTCTCCTAGATGTCATCTCAAATATGAAAGTCTGGATTTTAAAGACTCCTCATAACTTAGCCTGACATGAGAGTTTTGACTACCTCCATGGAAGCCTGGGTTCAGTCATGTTTTTAGGTTATGATAACTTATGAGACTCTCTACTACGTATCAAATCAATTGATATATGATATGTAAGATAATACTAGTGAATATACACACCACGGCTTCACCCAGTTTTTACTCGAGTGAAGTTAACATTTGTTTACCCTTTAAATATGATCCAATTTCAGATTATTCCAAATATTAGTATTATCATCGTGAATAAGAAAATTGGAAAAATGCCAAAATAATAAAATTGAAATAAAACACTTTTTTATATGACTTTTCTATTTTTTAGTTTTTTTTTAGTCATTATTATATTATTAAAAACAAAGAAGGCATATCCTGACCACTAGCACATGTGATTTTTAGATAGCAGAGTGTGGATGGCCTTTCTTGATTTATCTAGAAAATTGGTTGGCCAAATATAAGGGAACAGGATAAATAAACGTTTAGTTGATTTCTGTTACATTAGATGGCGCTCTGCCAGTATTATTACCATAATTCCTTTTTTTTTTCATTAAGAAGAAATCTATATCGAAATTAATAAAAATATTTACAATAATTATATCTTTATTGTGAAAAAAGCGAGCTCTAGAGCAAAGACACTTCTACTGGGATATGAGGAGAAATATCTACTTATATATTTGCCTTATTCTGTCTGTTTGTTTGTCTGTTTGTCTGTTTGTCTGAAGCTCACGGATAGAATGCGCGCCCATTGGCTGCCAGCAAACACGTGACCTCCCTGCCCGCCCCCCTCTAGACAACCCTGTTATCAGCTGTGCGATACATATACCTGTCTATAGCGGCCACTCTAGACAACCCTGTTATCAGCTGAGTGATACATCCACCTGTCTATACAGACCACCCTGTCATAGCGGTTACCCTAGGCAACCCTGTTATCAGCTGTGTGATACATCCACCTGTCTATACAGACCACCCTGTCATAGCGGTCACCCTAGGCAACCCTGTTATCTGCTGTGTGATACATCCACCTGTCTATACAGACCACCCTGTCATAGCGGTCACCCTAGGCAACCCTGTTATCAGCTGTGTGATACGTCCACCTGTCTATACAGACCCCCCTGTCATAGCGGTCACCCTAGGCAACCCTGTTATCAGCTGTGTGATACATCCACCTGTCTATACAGACCACCCTGTCATAGCGGTCACCCTAGGCAACCCTGTTATCAGCTGTGTGATACATCCACCTGTCTATACAGACCACCCTGTCATAGCGGTCACCCTAGGCAACCCTGTTATCAGCTGAGTGATACATCCACTTGTCTATACAGACCACCTTGTCATAGCGGTCACCCTAGGCAACCCTGTTATCAGCTGAGTGATACATCCACCTGTCTATACAGACCACCCTGTCATAGCGGTCACCCTAGGCAACCCTGTTATCTGCTGTGTGATACATCCACCTGTCTATACAGACCACCCTGTCATAGCGGTCACCCTAGGCAACCCTGTTATCAGCTGTGTGATACATCCACCTGTCTATACAGACCACCCTGTCATAGCGGTCACCCTAGGCAACCCTGTTATCATCTGAGTGATACATCCACCTGTCTATACAGACCACCCTGTCATAGCGGTCACCCTAGGCAACCCTGTTATCTGCTGTGTGATACATCCACCTGTCTATACAGACCACCCTGTCATAGCGGTCACCCTAGGCAACCCTGTTATCAGCTGAGTGATACATCCACTTGTCTATACAGACCACCTTGTCATAGCGGTCACCCTAGGCAACCCTGTTATCAGCTGAGTGATACATCCACCTGTCTATACAGACCACCCTGTCATAGCGGTCACCCTAGGCAACCCTGTTATCTGCTGTGTGATACATCCACCTGTCTATACAGACCACCCTGTCATAGCGGTCACCCTAGGCAACCCTGTTATCAGCTGTGTGATACATCCACCTGTCTATACAGACCACCCTGTCATAGCGGTCACCCTAGGCAACCCTGTTATCATCTGAGTGATACATCCACCTGTCTATACAGACCACCCTGTCATAGCGGTCACCCTAGGCAACCCTGTTATCTGCTGTGTGATACATCCACCTGTCTATACAGACCACCCTGTCATAGCGGTCACCCTAGGCAACCCTGTTATCAGCTGTGTGATACATCCACCTGTCTATACAGACCACCCTGTCATAGCGGTCACCCTAGGCAACCCTGTTATCAGCTGAGTGATACATCCACCTGTCTATACAGACCACCCTGTCATAGCGGTCACCCTAGGCAACCCTGTTATCAGCTGAGTGATACATCCACCTGTCTATAGCGGCCACTCTAGACAACCCTGTTATCATCAGTGTGATAAATTCACCTGTCTATACAGACCACCCTGACTATAGCGACCACTCTTTATGAAAATCCACAATTCTAATTTTATATTTTCAAGACACACACAGTTTGGGGCGGGAAGTTTCACAAGAGAGACATCCACGGCGCCAATTTATAATTGTAACGAATAGTATTTTAATTAAAACATTTCTAAAATATATACGCACTCGGGTAAACCCCGGGCGTTGCCCAGGCCTTACGTCTAGTAGACTATAAAATCAAATATGCACAGATGTGTAATAGCGGCCATTTAATATCAAAACATTTAATAGCTATTTAAAATACTATCTTATAAATTTACAAACGAATAATATTTCCAAATTTGTGTGTAAATCCATAAGACAAATAGCTTTTAATGTTTTGTTTTCAAATGGTCACTATTACACACCTGCGCATGTGCAGGTGAACATTTTATTTTATAAATGGTCTGTATTTCCTCGCATATCCTATTAGAAGAGCATTTTTGCTCCAGAGCTCGCTTTTTGCACTTTGAAATAGATACTTATTATTAAATTTTTATTAATTTCACAATACAAATTTATTCTTAATAAAAATAAAGGAATTATGGTGATAATACATTTGTTTTTGTAAATAGTCTGTATTTATCCTCATATCTCTGATAAGCCAGTAGAGAAGAGCATCTTTACCCAAATTTTCCCAATAAAAAAATACTTATTATTATATTTTTTTATATTAATTTCTATATAAAACTATTGGCAATTTTACTTAACATATAGTGAATGACTTTTTGGTAACAGCGTTGTTACCATCTTCGGACAAAACTAGTGAATATTATTTGTTTTTTATTAGTTGTGTATTTGTTTGTATTGTTACTACTACTATTACAACTAATAATTATTATATACAGCAGAATCTCCCTTTAGCAGACACCTCTCTACAAAGGACAGTTTTCATTTGCAAAATTACCATTTTTACAATTTAGCAACTCTCCGGTAAGAGAACACCTCTTCCTAAAGGTCACTTTGGCTCTGCAATTAGGTGTCCTTTACAGGGAGGTTCTACTGAATATGTATATATACATGATAAGCTATATTTTAGCTAATTCAATATTGAGTAAACACTCACTTGGCATGATCGTAGATAAGGCTGCCTCATTAGTCTAGTAAATAATAAAATACGGCCTCAATGAAATTTTTGGTTATAGAAAATAAATAGCACCTGCCTCAGATTGTAGTGGTCCCTCGCTAGCATGCTGGTTGAGACTGAGTTGCCAACCGAAGGTGTGTGCCACAGAGCTGAGTCTGACCATCTACGAAGGCCAGATCACGGCCCTGTTGGGCCACAATGGGGCCGGCAAATCCACCCTCATCCACATGCTGACTGGAGTCATGCCACTAACTGAAGGCAAGGCCTGGCTCTATGGCCACAGCCCAACTTCCAACCTGTCAGCCCTCCGCAACCTGATGGGTGTCTGTCTCCAAGACGATGTCTTTCACCCCAACCTCAATTCTGTCCAGCACCTTCAAATCTTTGCTGGCATCAAGAACATCACTCTGTCTCCTAAACAGGTTGGTTTGTGCCCTTTCTCCACACCTCTCTCGCCTCCCATTCAATAAAAAAACTTGTATGTAATATGTACCATATAAAAAAGCCGTTTAAAATTATCTGTGAAAAGTATAAAGAGAATAAAGCCTTATTATATAATGATTGTTAAATTCTGAAAACTCAGGGGTCACTGCCTCTTTTAAAAAAAACCTGGATTTGCGATAATCTGGGGGCAGATCTTCACACAGGTTGTCCCTTTGGTAGAGTACAGATTTTCCCTGATAGGCCAACTTCTCACAGGTGCTTGCTCCTAGATCCTGTGTGCATCCTTACCACCTTCCACCATGGCTGCTCTCAACTCTCCACACATTGGCCTCTGTTTTAAATAGGTTTCCCCATGTTGACACTCATGTCACATCTCTTAAACACAAGGTAATAAGACTAAGTCCAAATAAATAAATAGTGTGTGACGTTTCGGTAACAGCATTGTTACCATCTTCAGACAAAAGTACTGAATGTTAACTTTTGTCTGAAGATGGTAACAACACTGTTACCGAAATGTCACACACTATTTATTTATTTGGATTTGGTCTTATTACCTTGTGTTTATAATCTATAATCCAAATTGTGCGTTATCAGTCACATCTCTTACTTTTTCCTTAATTCATTTTTCATTTAATTTGTGCCTTCTCACTGTCGAGCCATCAGTACTTGGGAACACTGTGTACTTTAGTGTTTAAAGATTGCATATAGAGGTAATAGTCACCATAATACCTGGTCTCTTTCCTATTTTACAATCTTTTGTTGTTAATATCAATGATTTTTATTCTCTGTCCACACAAAATATTTAACCTATTATATTGAACAGTCAGTGCAAGAGTATACAGATCCTGGGTTTCTCTTCTTGAGTGGGCACCCAGTAAAGTTACATTTGTGTTGTGGACATGATACATTTAAATTTACTAACATAGAGATGATTCAAGGTATATATATATATATATATACAGTCATTCATCTGAAATATTGAAAGAAAAACTAGCATATTTTATTTACTAGAGTTATTTACTTGATTGTCTTGTTTCAGTTATTATTTTCACATGGAGAAGGATGTTGAAAGGTAACATAAAACCAAAGTTTTTAAATAAGTATTTTATATTTAACACATCATTAGATTCTGTTGCACACAGAAAAATGTCACAAATACTATAGAAATGTTGTTAGAAATATCATATATTTTACAAAAAGCTTTCAAATGTGTCATAAATGTTTAAAAATACAGAGGGTGTTTCCTTTCAAATGAAACGATTTCAAACGTCCGTTAGAACTTTATTTTTCGAACGTGAATTTTTTTCATGTGTTCTATGTGCTTCCCCTTCTTCTTGGCTATCTCCCTGCATCGGACTTTCCAAGCTGCGAACACTTCCTTGACTTTGGAGAGCGAAACATTCGACCACTCCTCTTGTGCGGCTTTCCAAAGTCCGGCCTCAGTTTTGGGACGTCGGTTGAAGAGCCGTTGTTTCAACATACCGAACCCGTAAAAATCCAGTGGGCTGGCGTCGGGAGACTTCACTGGAATGTCCGAGTTCCTGATAAAATTTAGGCCTAGGGTGTCCTTCATTTCTTGTAGGAACTGTTGGGTTTTGTTGGAGGTATGGGAAGAGGCTTTGTCGTGATGAAGGAACACTTTGTCCATTTCCCCTGGGTAAAGGTCCTTCAGTTGTTCGATGACAGGTTTCAGAACGCATTCTATATAGAATTCTGAGTTCACCTTCACCTTCGATGGAACCTTTATGAGCGGAAGGACTCCACGGCCAGTCATTACCCCGACAACCATGAAACCTTTAGGGAAAGTTTCGGAGCATTGGTGAACCCAATTATCCGGGACCTGATTGCCTCTTTTGATGTAAAAGATCTTCCGGATTCCATTGCAATACGTCACATACATCCATGCTTCGTCCAATGTTGCAGTATATTCCGATCTGGAACCGGCCAGGTGTTCCTCGTAGAGCTTCCGGGCATTCGTTGCCTGGTTTTTCATGTGGAAAGGGGTGAGCTTGTGAACCTTGCCTTTTCGTCGGGTATCCAGTTCCAAATCTTTGTGAATGATGTTATTTATCGTTTTTAGCGATGTTCCACACATTCTGGAAAGTTGGCGCTGAGATGGTGGATTTTCAGTAGTTGCTAGCCGCTTTACCTTGGAAACCGTGGCGGGGGTCCGCACCGGACGTGGTCGATCGACTTGAAATTTTTGCCCATTGGATTCAGCTTCCCTTTTCTTTCCGATGCCATTTACTACCCTACATATTGTAGCTTTGCCAACATCTAGTCCTTCTGCTTTTAGCTTTTTCACTATGACGCTATAACTGTTTCCTTCTTTGGAAAGGGTCCGAATTGTTTGTTCGACTTGGAGCGTTAGTCTCTCTCCCCCCATGTTGCAAAAATCATGATACCTGATGAAAATGAATTCTCCAGAAGATTCTAGATCTATTGGAACCAGTGTCGTGTGCAGCATGCCTGCACGTGCAAAACGCGAGCGCTCGAAAATCGTTTCATTTGAAAGGAAACACCCTCCGTATAACACAAATTTTCACAAATATCACCTATAAAACTTATATTTGCATTTGGCTATTGTTATCTCTAATCCAAATATCTCTCTCTCCCTTATAAATATCCAGTCCATGATGTAGTCCACCTGCCTGTACAGACGGAGCCATTCCTACATGATCTAGGCCTGTACGAGGTCAAGGACCTTCCTGCAGAGAAGCTGAGTGGAGGACAGAAGAGGAAGCTCTGTGTGGGAATGGCTTTGGTGGGAGATCCAAAGGTGGGTGTTCTCACAGCTACTTATATACTTCCACTCCTGGTGGTTGGTTGACTTGTCATCATGACCACACACACATTCACAAGGTGAAAAGACCAAATTTATATAAATATATTATTTGCCATGTTTTGATAACAAGGTTGTTATCAACATCAGACAAAAATACTGAATCTCATATGTTTTATTTGAATTAGACCTTATTTTCTTGTAGCTATAATCTATAATCCAAATTGTGCATTATCATTGGATTTGGTCTTTTCCATATGAGATTCCTATCTATAATCCAAATTGTACCTCATCACACACCCATTTTCAACATGTACAGTGAAACCTCATTATTGTAGCTTCTTATATAAAAATATCTTGGTTATAGCATTATAATTCTAAAGCCTCATGTAATAAGAGTGCAAATTGTTTCAACCATAGTTATAGCAACATAAAACCTTGGTTCCAAATAATGTGTTATAATGAATTTCACCTGTTTTATAAATGTAAAACATTCTTAAGCTATTTAAAGCTTCTTGTTAAGCAAACTGGGTGATAAAAAAAATGCTTTCAAATGATGTAAAATCATGTAATTAAAGTTTAAAATCCATGTGAAGTAAAACACAAATAAGGTAAAATTGAAGTAAAGTAAGATATCCAGCTATACTTGGAATTTAGCTTACTTGGTTTTATTTTATTTTGATGTCAATTCACATGGTTGATAGTCTACTTGGATTTTATTTCATTTTCATGTGAGACCTCACTTTATTATTATTTTAATTGGATTTTATTAAACTTTGAAGTGACTTCACATGGCTTTACTTAAATAATACATCATTTGTGTGGAATGAAATGGCTTACACACACATACATCAGGGTTCTTCCCTAAATGAATGTTTGCCCAGCCAAATTTTTTTACCTGGTATTAGATTACATTGCAAACATGTTAATACTTAAAATGTATCCATAGTAAATGTGATGGTATCATGGGAACTTGTGAGGTAGAGTCCAAATGACCTCAGTCCAAATGTACTACAGGTAAATTCCCATCTTAGCATATTTATATCATTTGTAAGAGTGTCGACAAAAAGATGGCTAACTTTTTTTTAGCTGTATAGTTGTCTAGGTTAGATTTTTTTCTTACTTATTTACACTTTATTTTAAAATAGAAAATTTGAAGAATAAATTAACCTAAATATATATGCTAAAGTAATTAAGGCATTCTATTCTCACACCATAAAATTTAACATTACTGAATAAGTAGATAAATTGGGTCAGATTCCTCTATGATGCAAGATGATTTTTTTTTCAAACCCATGATCATATTATAAAAAAAGGCATCTCCTTATCGTGCAACTGAAAGTTGCTAATGGTTTGCACCATCTATCGGAATAAATATCAACTATTCTCGTTGATTTTTAATTATTCCATTTTTGGCCAAATACCCATTCTTGATTAATCAAGAAAAGCTAACTACAGACGCATTTCGGGCTGTTGGCCCTCATCAGCGTGGTGCAAGCTATATCTCAACGACCAAAAAACTGGTCATTCAGGCATCCTGAAAAAAATCATGAAACGGGTAGATAAGGCCAGAATTGCGTGAGACCATGACACAATGTGAAAAAACCATGATCTTATATTTACTATAGTACTTTATTGCTTAAAGCAACCACTGAGTTAAAAAAATATTGCATGCTGATTAGCTAATGTATAGTATATCTTAATATAGATTGTTGTGTGGTCACACACACTCTCTCTCTCTTTCTATGTTTTGGCTATTTGGATCATTAAAAAACATTTCTATCTGTAACATTTGGGTGAATTAACTGGACACTGTATATACCTTGAGCTAAACAGTTGAACTTTCTCTCTAAAGGACACTTAGTTGCAGAGCCAAAATGTCCTTTAAAGAAAGGTGTTCTTACACTGGAAAGCAGCTAATTTGTAAAAATTCTAATTTTGACTATGAAAACATAATCCTTTTAGAGGGGTGTCTTCTAGCAAAAGTTTCCTCTTCCAGGTTCTACTATATAAACCAATTAAGTTATGTACTGTCGTACTTGGCTAAAACATTACTTGGGGGCCGAGATTTTATGTTGCTATAACCATGTGATTATTTTTGTTGTAAACCTGGTTAAAATAATTCAAAACTTGAAACTTTAAAATTATGATGTTTTAACCAAGTTGCTGTTATAATGAGGTATTATACAGTAGAATCTTTCCCATAAGAGACCATAGCCATAGCATGGGTAAACCAGGACTCTTCTGGTTGTGGTCTCTAATCAGACACTCTGTCATGTTAGGCCAAGTCTTTCAACTGAGCCAGTCTCTGATGAGAAAACACTGCCAAGGGTTTAACTATGTTCTCTCACGGAGGACTACTGTAATAGATTATTCCATATTTAGACCCCTGACTCACATAGATTCAGTTTAGGAGAGAAGCCCTGACCTAGTGTTCTGCTGTAAGGTGGTGATACTGGACGAACCCACCAGTGGGGTGGACGTGGCCTCGCGCCACCAGATCTGGGACCTACTCCGCAGGAAGAAGGAGGGCCGGGTCATCATGATCACCACCCACTCCATGGAGGAAGCTGACATCCTGGCTGGTGAGTCCCCCACACTCCCCTGACATGGCACCAACATCTGGCTGCCCAGACCGCAAGGCCATCATTTCTAAGGGCAAGTTGAAGTGTGCCGGATCCTCTCTCTTCTTGAAGAATAGGTTTGGCATCGGCTACCATCTTAAGTAAGTGATGTCTTAACTTACAACTTTGGAAAATTGATCGGGTACTATGTTGTATGACTAACCATAATCTCCTACAGTATTTAGCAGTAAAATATTGTTAAGGAGAACATTTATTTTATTGATTCCCCAGTTTTACAAGGGAGCTCTCAAACATATTTGTCCTTCTACAGGTACATAGAAGATGCTACAAGAAGATACATACATTAGTTTCCAAAAATTATTCCTTCAATTATTTTAACATATCTATCAATTGTGCTCAAATTTTTAAAACATATATGTTTGTATATGGCTCCTCCTTTTTTCTATACACCTGCAGAAAAACAAACATGTCTGAAAGCTTGCAAAAATAAAGAATCAATAAATACTTCATTCATGATGCTTCTTTATACCAAAAAATATTGGAGACGCCGGTTATGTAAATTTCTCTTTTTTGCTTATTCAGCCAGAATATTTACATATTTGTAAATATAATTGTGTATATAAGGATATGTTCAGTTTTAATAAAAGTGTGTCAGTAACAATCGGGTGTTGGTGAATTATTAGTGTCATCAGGGTATCCTTTCTGGTGTTGTGGGCACTTTTAAGGAAGCGTATAGGCTTCAATACGGTTGGAGACAAGAATAAGTCTGGCAAGAAGATACAGTCAAGCTCTGCCACAACTATTTTGATAAGGCCAGACAAATCCTGGATGCGGCAAGCTTTCCGAGCTTAGTAAGTGAGGCAGTGAACGCATCCGAAACAAATATGTTGTAAGGTTGGCAAAGAACCATTATTTTGTAATATATATAATGGAATATTTTGTTTCAATTCATGTCCATGTGCTCTGGAAGCTCTATGTGTACCTTTCTTGTTAGATCTAACTATTAATACCTATAGTTTTTCCTTATTCCACTTGTTGCCTGTAAGGTTGCAGACTATAGTATAACCTCTTTAATTCAACTCTGATTTAGCATTTCTTAATCCAACAGATTTTCAAAACTCAACAAAAATTATTTAACTGACTACAATTGAAAACAGATTGAATTCCACAGGAGCCACCTATATCCCACGGGATATTGAATTATATTCAAAGAGACTTTACGTGTGTTGATGGTGACAGTGTGGAGCTGGACCATGACACCTCTGCAGGAGAGGTCGGCAACTTGGTGCGCTCCCATGTGGCCGGGGCCAAGGTGACCCAGCAGTCCAGGTCTGAGATCTCCATGACCCTCCCATGGGATCAGGCTGGCCAGTTCCCAGCCATGTTCTCTGAGCTGGAGAAAGCCCACCTGCCCCATGGCATCACCATGACCACTCTGGAGGAGGTGTTCCTGCGGCTGGGGGTGGAAGAAGAGGTAGAGGAAGAGGATAGGGGGGACCATGCCCATCTAGTGGACACCTCCTTGGAGAACCTGGGAGAGCTGGAGAGACTGGTGGACTCCCCTGAGCCCAGCTTCCTGCAGTCCGCGAGGTCCTTTTTCCGTGTCCGGCTCCTGCTGCTGTCTCGCAGCCCCATGACTTATATCCGACTGATGATCTCCACCCTGGTTTACTGCCTCATTGCCTACCTGGTGTCCTACCGGGTGCCAGGGGGAAGGTCCCCGCCCCTGGAGCTCAGCCCCTCTCAGGTTTACCCCCAGTCCCAGCAGCCCCTGCTTCTCCTCAACAACTCTGGTATATACAATCTCTTTACACAGTCCTCGGACTTTTTATGGAAGTTGTTAGCTGCTCTAATGTTTTATTTTTGAAGGTTTATTATAGATTGCTGTGTATGTGTTGTTAGTGTCAATCAAGTTGAGTTCACTTTTGGTGACTAAATGGCCAAATATTCTCCAATTTGATCTATTGGTGACCAACATTCACAGCTCATCTAGTGAACTTCCAGTAGCTTTCTTGATCCCTTCTATCCAGCTCATTGAAGACCTTCTTCTCTTTCTTCTTCCTTTAATTCTCCCAAACATCAATATCTTTTCTAATCCATTTACTCTCATTATGTGTTTAAAGTAGATCAGGCTTTGTTTGCATATTTGGGATTCTAAGGATCTACCTGGATTAATTTCATTTAAGATTGAAATATATATATATATACAGTAGAACCTCCCTTTAGCGGACACCCCGCTAGCAGAGACCTCTCTACAAAGGACAGTTTTCATTTGCAAAATTACCATTTTTACAATTTAGCAACTCTCCAGTAAGAGGACATCTCTCTCTAAAGGACACTTTGGCTCTGCAATTAGGTGTCCTTTACAGGAAGTTCTACTGTATATATATACATAAGTCATAATATATGCTCTTCCAGGAATAATAAAGTAAACCTACAGTCAACGAGAGAGAGACGTCGATAGAACGCAGCTAAAGTACGGTCTGGGCCACTGGCCACATTCCAAGGGGCGACCGCAGGGCCTTTCTTGGAACCTCAGGTCTATTTTTGGACAGTCGGGGGGTGGTGGGCACACAAAACGGTCGTTCCGCAGTGACAGCCCCACGCGCTACCTCTCTCTCGCTGGTTACCTGGGTTATTCCTCTACCAACTCGTTGTGTGATTATTTCTCTTCCCCCACCACATTATTATCACTATATTGTCACATATATATATATTTTTTGTCTGTTATTATATAAAATACTTTCATATGTCCAGGTATTTACAGCTCCTCTTTTTAAAATTTAACTCTCCCAATTGAATTTAAATGATTGAATTTGAATCAGTGTTGAATTATAGTCAGTTAAGATGATTATCAATTCATAGTGACATAGGAGTTGACTAAATCCAAATCAATAAATTGTGTGTGACATTTTGGTAACACAGCATTGTAACATTTTTAGTCAAAAGTACTGACTTCTTTTCTCAAATTCTTTGACCCCCAAACACCATTTTTATTTTGGGAAATATCCGGCTATTAGCATCTTCCCAACTCATTTTCTCATCTATTTGATTGTTTTTACACAAATTATTTTTACATTTTTTTAATTAAACCGATTCACGTCATATACAGGTTATGAGTCATATTGGGTGGTAGTTAATGACTACTTTTAGTGCATCACATATCTACACATGTAGAAAACAATTTTACTTTTGTACTATACAAGTTTTCCAGAGCTCCATTTGGTTACTTGCACTTACTGATGGGATTGGAATTTTGTAAGAATAGGGGGCCATTGAAGCAATTTTTTCTTCAGAGGAAAAAGTGCTCAATACGGGATTTGATCCTGGGTGATGTCAGAACAATGTTTCTAAAGAAACCTATGCTGAATATCCTCTTTAATTCAACTGACTATTTCAACATATACTTTAATTCAGACACATTTTTAAATGCCAACCATTTCCCTTTCAAATCGTCATGTTTAATTCAAGACCCATTTTCTGAAACCCAATAACCTATTTACACACTTCAATTTAAACAGCTATATATCAACACCCTCTTGTGTTGATAACAAACTGTTTTTCAGAAAAATTCCATCTATAGCAGTGAGTGTTGCGATGAATTGATAATCATCTACACTGACTATAATTCAACACAAATTGGTGGTCAAATTGGTATATACTCTTGATTTTCAACAACTCAGAATAAAATCCTCTATTGAGTACACTTTAAAAAGGAAAAAAAATTGTGTGCTTCAATGGCCCCAAGTTGAAATGCTTTAATTCAGCACCCTTCTAGGAAACTCTATAAAGGACACCTTGTTATGTAGAGGCTGGTAACTTAAGTGTCCCACGTGATTGCAGGGACTTCTCTGGATTCTCTGGTGGCCAACCTCAGTGTGAAGTCTGATGTAGTGAACAACATGAAGCCAAGTCTTGACAACCTGCCGCCCCACTACATGGCTCTGAATGTCCATAAATTCTCCCCTCCCAACGTATGTATAACTGTCCACCTACACTTGTATTGGCAACTTACTTGACTGTCTGAATATTATATTTGATGTTGAAGATGTTGTGGTTTGGATTAACAGGATGTGGCCATCCAGCAGATGGTGAACGCAAGCTTTGTGCATGCATTTCCAGTGGTTCAGTCACTTCTGGAAAGCGCAGCGTATGGTAAACCGCCCATTCATGTGGTGTCCCACCCTCTGCCACCAACCAAGCATGCCCTTGTAGTGACCTCTACACTCAGCTCACTGGGCTGGATCTATATCACTTCCCTCTTTATCGTTGGCATGCCAGTGGAGCTGGCCATAGAGTCTGTGGTGGACAGGGAGGTAGGTACCTTGTCAACACTTTCTTTTTCAATATAGATCACTATCATACTTCACAGATCATCCTATCACACTTCATCCCTAAGGTTAAAAATAATCATTATTTCTCTCCTTAAAATTAATTTCAATTTTTCGTTCAAAAGAAACATTTGCGGTGAAATTGTCAAATTTTGTTCTACAATATCATAAGCTGCATTATATTGTAATATAGATCACTATACATAGTAAACAAAGGAAATATTAGTAGAACATGTATTATTATTGAACAAAACTGCTGTTTTGAGCAATGTAATATACCTTAGTTTTTTTATTTTGTAGAGATTGATAAATAAGTGAAGGTGGTACTTATCCCAAGTATGTCATGACCATGATGTTGGGTAGTTAGAGACTGCTTTTACTGTGATACACCACATGTCTACATGGAAAAATACTAAGAATAATTGATTTCAACTTTTCTGTTGAAGAGTTATCACATTTTTAAATAAAGTTTAAGGTGGTTATTACATTCATTTAAGTGCTTCTTCCAGGTTTATAACAAGTGAAACTGAAGAACATCACAAAAATAATGAAAAGAAATCTTTTAAAATTCATTCCTTCATTCATTTTGTATATTTACAGTCAAACCTCATTATAACAACACAACTAAATATTTAAAAATTGAGATATGCCTATTACAAAAGAGATTTAAAAAATGTTTGCAATAAGTTTTTGCAAAAGTTTTTTTTTTATCTCTTTTGTAATAACCACATCAACTTGAAACCAAGATTTTATGTTGAAAAAGCACAATTTGGATTATAGATTATAAACACAAGGTAATAAGACCAAATCCATATAAATAAATAGTGTGTGACATTTTGGTAACAGCGTTGTTACAGTCTTCAGACAAAAGTGCTGAATGTAGTTATTTATTTGGATTTGGTCTTATTACCTTAAGATTTTATGTTCTTATAACACCAAGTTGTTATAACCACTGTTAAAATAATTGGAACTTAGAATTAAGATGTAATAACCAAGTTAGTGTGATATAAAAGAGACTGTTGTAATAAGGTTACACTATAAATGTGATTGATTTTTAACAACAAATTAACATTCTATACATACATACATATGTAGTAATCCCGACGTGGAATGTATTGGGCAGTCGTGGTCGTGGGTGTGTGATGGGATTCCCGCACTGGGACAGCAAGAGACAGAGGCAGGTCTAGATGGTACTCCAAGAGATAGAGGTAGACCACGGACGAAGGCAGTCGAACCACGGGCGCCACGGATGCCCAAAGCCTACATCGTGGATAGAAGGTGAGAGATCCCACTGACCGTATAACGGCGTCGCTCTGAAAACCACTCAACAACTAACTTTGTCCCATTTCTGGGCTCTTTTATATTGGCTGCCCGCATATGGCGGAGAGTCCTGATTGGTTCCTGTAAAATCACGCCACCTGTCAGGCACCGGGTTGTTTATCACGTCTGGCCACCTGTTGACGGGGTGATTGAACTCATTATCATAAACACCTGTTCGTCTGGTCTTTGTCTCCGTCTGGGCTACCTTTACCTCTTTGTTTATTTGTCACTTTGTTACAAGGTCGATACATATTTTTATATAGATATGGGGT